CTCTGTCTTTTCATTGTTCAATTTGAGCTTCTTTATGTTCATCCAGTGCTTAACTGACTCCACTGTCTTCTGTGTCATACTAAGAAGCTGAGGGAACTGAGAGGAGGTCATGGATTGCTGAAGTTGGGTATCATCCGCAAACATGTGATAGAGCATGTCAAACTGGTTGATCACTGCACCCAGGGGCTGAACGTACAAAGTGAAAAGCACCAGGTCTAGGACCGAGCCTTGGGGTACTCTGAATTCGATGATAGATTGCTTCGAGGTCAAGCTGTTTATGATAACTGATTGGACCCGATTTGTCAGATACGAGCGGAACCATTACAGGACGGTATCGGTGAAACCGAACATACTTTCCAGACGGAGAAGTATGCCGTGGTCAAGCGTATCAAACGCAGCCGATAGATCAAGTAACGACAAAAGCGATATCTTGCCCTCACCACAAGATGACAGAAGGTCATTATGACGCGCAACAGGGCTGCCTCGGTAAAGAAATGTGCCCTGTATGCTGACTGGAAAGGCTCAAACAAGTCACACCGAGTGAGGTGATTCAGGAGCTGGCGGAGAACGACTTTCTCCAAAATCTTGGATACGAATGGTAGATTAGAGACAGGGCAATAATTTTCCAACACATTTGGGTCGAGATTTACCTTCTTAGCAGTGGAGTTACAACCACCTCTTTAAAAGAAGATGGAACAATACCAGATTTTAAAGACTGATTTATGATACTAGTTATAATAGGGACTATTTCATTTAAACATTCGTACAACAGCCTAGCCGGAAGGGGGTCAAGCAAACATGACTTTTTTGGGGAGTCAGCCAGGATTTTCTTCACATCCGGTTTGGAGTGACCTCCAAAAATTCACTCGTAGGAGTGCCGTTAAACGACAAAATGACTTGGTAAAACCACTTACAAAATTCTCTGACATGGCTTGGATGTTTGTTAAGTTGTAAAGCATCCCAAGAAATGCATCTACAGAACTCTGGTTGTGTTTGACTGACTCCATGTTTAGAACAGGTTCCACATAAAGTCTAGAAATAAATTACAAAGAAAACCACTGAAAATTGAATTATTTACAAAAAAATAATATTGCAGAAAATCAATAACTTATGAGATATTTAATATTTTGAATTAGAAACTTAAATATTGTATCAGCTGCTTACCTAGTTAAATAAACACCTGCATGCAATCTGGTCCTAAACACATTACAGGTTTCAATATTTTCACAAGAAACATCAGGTATGCAGATTTCTTGGTTCATGACAGTTGCTTGAATATTATCACAACAATAAGAACACTGGAAGCAGAGATTGCTGAAAGAAAGACAAAAAAAGGGTTCAACTGTATGATAACTCAACTGAAACTATCTTGGATTATATTCTTTTATTGATCCAAATCAATGGAGATGTTTTTTTTAAAATTATTTTGTACATTTTGAATTTTGGTACATAAATGCGTCAAAATATATATTTCAATCTAGACAAGTTTTACAATTATAACAATTTAAATACAAGACTTCTAAGGGGCCCATCCATAAATCATAAATGATAGCATGCATTTTTGTGACAATGAATGACGAGGGGGGGGGTGTTGCCATAAGCAATGTGACCGCACATGAAAAGCGGAATCTTTTAGTAAAAAATTGCACTTAACCATAAATTACAAAAATTATAAACATTATTCTTTTATATAATATTTATAGTTATTTTAATTTTAAACCACGATCACTGCGAGGATCAGTACCATGGAGGAGGCAAAAATGGGTGTAGTGACACTGACAATCGAGAGAATTTATGTCAAAATGTGGAGACAGGAGTCATAGAATTAGGACTACCAAAAAAAAATAAATGGGATGGAATGAAAAAAATGGCTGCTGGTGATCTTAGTAAATGCTCAAGAGAACGGATTCTTAACCTTTTTGCAGCGCGGCAGACCCACCCCGTTTTAAACATCCCCTCCTTAATTGTATCAATAATATTGTAATAGAATTTAAAATATGAAAAGAATTAAATAAATTGGTTATCGTAGTTTTTTTTCTTTCATTAGATTTGGTAAAAAAAGTAGGCCTTTCTGTTTTTGCAGTGCAAAACAGATTTATATGATTTTTTTTAAAATTCACTTTAAAAAGACTTTTTTAGACTTCAACAGAACACCTCAGAAAAGAAATATTTGAGATTAAACAAATTATATTAAATACTTACTTATAATACAGATGCATGTAGTTTCCAACAATAAATCCTTTTAGAAGAGCTGATGCTCCTCCTCTTGATTGAAGTCCAGCAGAAAAGTTGAAAACTTGACAAGATGATGTTATCAGTGTCAAGTCCATTTCAATATTCACATACGGATTGCTGATATTTCTTCCTGAAACATAACAAATAAATGGAGGAAGTGGGAATGAAGTGAAATTATGTGTCGTTTATAACAAACCAAATATGTTGTGTTAAAATTAAGATGAGTTCGATGTTAAAGGTCAAGCATGAAATTTTGTTTATAGTTCTTATTTAATTTTGTATATATTGTTTATTTAGTTAAATGAATGTGAAAATTCATTACTTACTGGATCCTTCCATACAAGAGGTTGAATTGTATGTGTAGTAGGGACACACATGGCACATTTGATCTTCATGACTCCAGTACTGCTCAGATGGACAAGGTTCACACTCAAGTGTTTCTAGGCTGTAGTAAGAACCTGGGCTGCACATGGCTGAGCAACACAAACAAATTTAATATTATAACATGCAAATAAGTTGGCATAAATGTATGTTATTATTATTATTATTATGAGTGGTTTTATTTAGCGTGGTACCCCAGCCTAGGGCTGGGCTCACCTTGCTGTACAAACCATTTAACAAACATAATCAACTTAAAAAATTAATTAATTAACACTCATTAATTAAATCAAACAAAACAAAGGTGTATTGACTCCACTCATTCCAGAACTGTTGACATGTCAAGCCATGGACGGCAGACCAGCAGCAGCGTTTAGCGGTCACAGGGGCAATCAGTTAGAAGTTTAAAAAGATGTGTTTTGAGTGTAGTTTTGAAGGATGTGATGGTCGGTATATTGCAGATGTGTAATGGAAAGAGAATTCCATTGTTTGGGGGCACAGAAAGAGAAAGATCGTTTACTGTATGTTTTTGTGCGAGTCTTGGGAGACAGAAAGAATATGCGCATCTGCGGAGGAGTGAAGCAGTGGAAGGGGTGATTAGACAGAAAGAAGTTCGGTTAGATAGGAAGGGGAGGAATTAGAGAAAAAAGTTGTGTCAGAGAACAGAGAGTTTGTTGTCAATCCGTGCTTGTACAGGGAGCCAATGAAGTGAATAAAGTTGTGGTGTGACGTGATCACGTCTTTTTGCCTTTAGAACTAGCCTAGCAGCTGAGTTTTGAACCTTTTGTAATTTTTCTAAGAAGTGTTTTGGTGAACCTGACAGAAGCGAGTTGCAATAGTCAAGACGAGAGAGAACAAGAGCATAGACTAAGATTTTTGTTGCACTAACTGTGAGATAGTGGGGGATGGAGCTGATTTGACAGATAGCTGTGTATGCAGAGCGACAAATATGAGATATATGATTATCGGGAGACATGTTGTTAGACAGAATATAACCAACATTCTTCGCGGAGGATGTAAACTTTATGTCGGATTTACCTACTTGAAATGAAGTGGGGAGAGCTGAGTTAGAGGATGATTTGTGATCGTGAATAAGAAGTGCTTCCGTTTTGTTATCGTTAAGCTTCAACTTGCAGAGTGACATCCATGACTTGACATCACCAATGCTCTCTCGCAAAGTCTGGACAGGGGAATTGATAAGAGAGGGATGGGTATGTTTGTATAGCTATGTGTAGTCTGCGAATGACTGGCCCTCCTCAGCATGCCTTGTCAGCAAGAGAAGCAGTGACCTGGTATACATTGTGAATAGAAACGGACCCCTGTGGCACTCCGTACACCAAGTCAGCACTGCCGGAGAGACAGCCATCAACAGCGACTGCCTGCGTCCTACCGGAGAGACAGCCATCAACAGCGACCGCGTGCGTCCTATCGGAGAGGCAGCCATCAACAGCGACTGCCTGTGTCCTATCGGAGAGGCAGCCATCAACAGCGACTGCCTGCGTCCTATCGGAGAGGCAGCCATCAACAGCGACTGCCTGCGTCCTACCGGAGAGACAGCCATCAACAGCGACTGCCTGCGTCCTATCGGAGAGGCAGGACCTAAACCAAGCCAAAACTGAACCAGAAATTCCAAAATAATTTTCAAGGGTTTATAAAGGGTTTCATGGTCAACAGTGTCAAAGGCCTCACTGAGGTCTAAGAGGATCAGGATGGCGATATCACCGCTGTCCAATGCGAGCAAGAGGTCATTGGTGACTCTCAAGAGAGCTGTCACAGTGCTGTGCGAAGGTCTATAGGCCGACTGATTAGAACTGAGAAGAGAGTGGTCATTTAAGTAAGCAAAAATTTGTTTTAGAACTAGTTTTTCAATGACTTTAGATAAAAATGATAAGTTAGATACTGGTCTATAGTTTTTTAAAATTATTTTCATCCAGACCAGACTTCTTAAGCAATGGTTTGATGACACCTGACTTACAAATGTGACAGGGGATTGATACTATTTTTATGAAATTGTAAACTCATGAATATTAAAATTTAGTTACATAAATTAATATAAAGATTGTTGTTTGTAAGACATCTAGCAATTCTTATTACTTAGAACTTTATTTTAAAAATCTGATTGCAACATCTGAAAGCTTACTGAATAGATTGTCAAAAACATTAATGCATAATGAAAAGTACAAATAACTTATATTCTTTGCCAAATCAGTGGCTAAATACCAACATGTGTTGTAATGCTTAAATAAAATCACCAGGTCTTTTAAATGCAATATAAAATTACAGTGGAAATAGCAAGTTTGGCATTAATACCTATGTGATCTAAATAGTAAAACAATAAATTTACCTTGACAGCCACTTGAATTCTGTCCATTTTTGATAGCATTGTGCAAACATTGGCAGCTAAAGCCTCCTTCAGTATTTATGCACTCTGCATTTGGATCACATGGATTAAATTCTACACATTCATCATCTTCATGACAAGAAGCTCCCTTAAAGCCAGGTCTGCAAAGACAGGTGCCATTAGCACTACACATTTCTGTGTTGTTATGATTACAGCCACAGAGTTTATTGCAGTTATCGCCCCATGTCCAGTTGCCACATTCAGAAGAACTGCTGCATTCATAGCTGCCATTTAAAAAGAAACACTCCCTGTGTTCCCCACATGGATTTGGGGTTTGCAAACATGGGTTTATTTGAGCACTACAAATCTGACCATCAAAGCCTGGCTTACAGACACAGGTGCCATTATAGTTATCACAGGTCTCTGTATTTTTGTAGTCACAGGTGCAAGGTTCTGTGCAGTTCTCTCCCCAAGTCCAATTTCGACATTCTAAAATTCAAATTTTTAAGACTTTCTAAATTATAAAAGCATTTTTTATATGTATTATTTCTTGATTAGTTTTTAAAAAATAAAGTTATTAATTAAAAAATGATCAAAGTTGAGGACAGTGTTCATTAACTAACCCTAATCCTATCTACAGTTACTTCATCAACTGTGTAAATACCTATGCTTTGTGTGCAAGCGAACGATCCATCAGAGTTCATATTTATGCACCTGTTTCCTTCCTCACAGAAATACTGAGCAACAGACAGTTTGTTCATCACATTACACCAACTGATTGCTGAAAATAATCAAAGTGGACTATTGAATGGACAAAAATACATCCAATGAATTTACTTGTGTTCATTCTTATAGAGATTTGACTTGTTACAGGTGAAACATAACATAGTTTAACCCTTTATGCATATATTTATTTAAATATTCAAAATACATTACATTGTGAAGTTCACTTACCAGATATTCCAGACTCTTTATCTTCATTAGTTCTGAACAAGGCTAATGGACCAATCAAGTGAAACTGGCCCATATAGCCACCAACTTTTTCATGAGACAGAACCATAAACTCTCCAATTTTGTGCAGAGTGATCTCATCAACTTTTGTTTTGAACCACAGTGTAGAGTTAATGCACATAACAGTCATTGTGTCATTGAGCTGACAGGAGCTAGAGAATAGAATGATCATCTTATTTTAAAATAGTTGTAACATAGTTATACATAACTGTGGCATGATCCTTATTATTCCCAAAAACTGATCAATTTAGTGAACAGAAATCCAAATTTTTGGTTGACTAAAATAGTTTAATAAATTATTTAAATGGTAATATTCCAGAAAAAATACATTTTAAAGGGTAAAATGCTTGGTCAACCATTTTTTAAATTGATATAAAAAGTTATTATGCAAACAAATCCATTTACCTCATATTCAAAGTTACTGATGTTAAGAACTCAGGGATGAATGAAGGTAATTTATCATAAATCTGCAAATATTTTTTTTCAAATTTAACAGGAAAATGTGTTTTAATAAATGAAATGCATGAATGTAAATGGAGATGTCAAAGAACATGTGTTTTTTTCCATGGCACATTTGAAACAAACAAAAGTTGGAAGAAAATTTTGATCTATTCCAATGTTTATTTGATCTAATCAATACCTTATATGACTTGACTCAATTTACACCACAAAGATAGGATTAGTACATTCTAGAGACATTCAATTAACTTACATATAATACTTACATATAATAAATACCTTATGACTTCACTCAGTTTACACAAAGATAGGATTAGTACATTCTAGAGACATTCAATTAACTTACGGCCTGCCAGAACATATTCATCAGCAGATTTCTTTCTTGACTACTGGTATCATACTCAGGCTTATGTTCTACTCCAAGCATGAAGCTTACATTACAGTGAAACACATTTAGATCTAAGGAAAATAGAAGGCACTCGTGTTTTAGATAAGTGATAAGAAAATGAAGAAAATAATTTTTTTTAACATAATGACATTTTAGATTGATCTTAACATTATGAAAACAAAACACACCTACTACAGTAACTTTTGGTGTGAATGGCAATTCAAATCGTATTTTTAGTTTTATCTGCAAAACACAAAAATGAAAACTATTAGACTAATGATATTTCTAGATGTAGTTTTAAAAAAAAAATTAATTCAATAAGCCTTATCAATGAAAATATTCACATGTAAATACAAATAATAAAAATTTAAAATAAAACAGGAAAGACAAAAGCAAATGATTCATAATTTATTGAAGTTTCTGGTTCTTGATAGATTTAGATTTGTATACTGTTAAATGATTCATAATTTATTGAAGTTTCTGGTTCTTGATAGATTTAGATTTGTATACTGTTAAATGATTCATAATTTATTGAAGTTTCTGGTTCTTGATAGATTTAGATTTGTATACTGTTAAATGATTCATAATTTATTGAAGTTCTGGTTCTTGATAGATTTAGATTTGTATACTGTTAATTGATTCATAATTTATTGAAGTTCTGGTTCTTGATAGATTTAGATTTGTATACTGTTTTAAATTATTAGTCTAAGATATCTATTAAAACAATTAGAGCAATGAAAACAATATTAAATTACATTTATATTAGTAGCATAGTTTAGTGATAATTTGCATAAAATTTTCACTGAAGGATAATACCGGTAATCCAATTATAAGGGAAGTATTGTAGCATTATAAAAAGGAAATCCTTTTTAATTCAATCTAATTATATCTAACCATGTCTCCACTCATAGCAAACATGTTGGTTAGGTCATACATCATGCCCATTAAGGCCTCTACTGAGCTTTGATTGTATTTTGTCACTGTCAAATTGATGACAGGTTCAAGGAATTCCCTGATGATAAAAAAAAAGAAAAAATTGGCCAATTCAAAACATGTTTAACTCTAGGAGGGAAAAAAAGGAATATGTAAATTAACCTAAATAATAGTGGATCAATATTCGCAAATTATATTAACATTTTATTTAAATCAAGTTACATGACTGGGCATCAATTTCTTAAGACTTAAGAGTAGGTAACAGCTGATAAAACTCTAAATTTATTTAACAATTATTTAACTTCATGAAAATGACAAGACAGATTTTTAATTGTAAAAAAGCTCATTGTCCCCTACCATGTGTAATAAACAGTTGCATGGAATTTAGTTCTGAAGAGCTGGCAGTTTTCCACATCAGTACACAATGGATCAGGTACACAGATTTCATTGTTGACAATTTCTGCATACACATTTTCACAAGAGTAGGGATCAGGAAAGCATAAGTCCCTGAAAAATATTTTAGTTCACATTAATTGAACAATACATAAAGGGAAAATAATTTGTAAGTTTAGACAATAAATGGAATATATTTTTAAATAACTTTTTCAGTTTTTATCCACTAAAGGACTTGTAAAATGCAGTAAATGTTTAATGAAACCAATTGGTATTAGTATTGGAATTTTCAAACTTCTTGAAAATATTATCAGTCACAATTTAAAAATTTGAATGCTAATCAACTGAATTTAAAAATATTTCCAAATGCTAAATTTTAAACTAAATTGTTTTCATTTTTTAATTAGAACATTAAATTAATATACTCAAATATGAAATATTATGACTAGACAAGAAAATTCTCCCATGTATTTTAAATAGATGCTAACTCTCGGCAGCTTGACTGATTCAAAGTCCAAATTATCTAAATCGGTCTTTCGTATTAAGAGGAACAATTGGCATTTTATCCTGTGTCTATGTCATGATTGTGGGTTGTAGATTGCAAATACCATGTGAAATTTTATGCTTTTATAGCTAATTGAACAAGCCACCTCGCGTTGGGACCCTCAATCCTTCCTTCGCAATTAAAATTTCAAGAATGCAGAAGTTCTCAAATAAAAAATTCTTACTTATAGTATATAAACCTGTAGTTTGACCAAATAAAGCTTCTAATTATTGATTTGGCTGCTTGTGGTTCTTTCATAATATTTGAAAAGTTTAGTGGTGTGCAAGTGGAAGTAACCAAAACAAGATCCATGTCAATATTTACAGGTCTGGTGCTAACATCTCTCGCTGAAATATGACAATGATGAGAAATGCTTGTTATTAACAATTATTGTCAGTTAAATTAAAAAAAAAAATTATTGGCTGCTTTTTTTTACATGTATGGTCATGACAATTCACCTTTGATAGATGGATTATATTAAAATACATAATTCTCTATGAAACAATGTCACTAATGCTATCACGTGGTGCTGATTCACTAAATAAGATTCACGGTAATTGTGGTAAATGAGATTATTAACAATACAAGTGCATTGGGTGCATAATATTTTCCTTATGCAAATAGTTGCTATAAAAGGGGGTGGGATATCAGAAAATTAATGCAGTTCAGAGTGGGGGGGGGGGTACCGTGGGTGTGGAGGGTAGCACTAAATTGGAATTCTTATAAAGTGCTTTACTTGAATGCATGGTTTGTCAAATAAAAAGTTTGTGAAACTTTAGAGGCCTTTATGAAAGAATAATAAGAATGCTCACGCTCTCCTGTGTTACATGTTGTTGCATTAAAAGAGTTGTAAGGGCACACGTGACATTTACGGTCCTCTTGGTCCCAGTACTGGTCAGTAGGACAAGCTGTACATGTCAGTGTCGTCAGGCTGAAGTAGTAGCCCGAGTCACAATCATCTAAATCGAAGCAATGAACAAATTTAATGAAAAAAAATCTAGCAAATTAATTTATAACAAAGAGCTATTTATTAAAACTTTTAAGACTCTTTCCAATTACATTTCTCCACTTGATTAATTTTGATATGCACCATTAAATAATTTAATTTATATCCTATGCCTAGAGCTACTCTTTACCCATAATTTATTTACTCATAATTTATTTACCCATAATTTATTTACTCATAATTTGTAGCACACAAAATTTTTAAATGGTTGCATTTTAGCCCCTCTAAACAATGTTATATATTTCCTGAATTAAAAAAAAATGATACATATTTTCCAAAACTACCTAGGGTCAATAATACATTATATTGTTTAACTAAGTGGTAAGAAAGGCCATTCTTGTTGTTTTGTTTTTTTAAATATTAAAATATTTTAAAAAAGGATTCAATGCAGTAATGATCCATGAATAAGTTTTAAGTTTAAAAACTTAAACCACTCTGTAAAAACTGTTTATTTTATGGATGTTTAGGGCACATTATAAACAAATATATCTAGCAATGACAGGGATCATATAGATACATTTAAAGTAAGGTGGCCTTTTTTTCTTCAAATCTTCATCCAGGATATTAACATTTTTCAATACTAAAACCAAACATTTAAAATAGTTTTAGGTTCTGTGTGTCCAAAAATAAACAATAACTTGAGTTTACACAGATAATTTTTCAGCTAACGAGGAGTTATTTTGGAAAAGAATATTATCGTGATTGCAAATTTGATGGATTAAAGATGTCTTAAGTTGTGATATTTATCTTTGTCTG